CCTGTCCATACCCAAATCAGATCAAAATCTTATCAAAACCTCAACTAAATAAAACGCTATCAAAATCTAGTATACGGTGAGGGTAAAGTATACGTAGGATAACTAATATTTATGTTTCCATTGCAATGCATGGTCAAATACGCTAGTTCTAGTATACTTCACTAGTAGTAAAACCAGAAAATCAACAAAAGATTAACTACAAGCAGATGTAGTGTTGACAAATGCAGCTCATGCATGCTCACCCTATTTACAAAACAGAGTGCAATATTTTGCTGCGCGTTGCACGGCTACCCAGACCAAACTATGCAATAACAAATATGATCAACAAAACAATAGTAAAACTTTAATCAGAAAAAACAACAAATGAAACCAATAATTCAAAAACCAAGTTGCCTCTGAGCAATAACCATTGAGGACCATATCCCTGCAATAATAAAAAGGTTCATGTAATTCAAGAACGCATCATAAGCACAAATATAGCATAGGTTGGCAACCAAAATACAACATTTGTTCAATGACTCCTCCATAATAGAAGTCTCCATTCTACGATAAAATCATAACTACTATGTCGAAGCATCTGAAGTTATTCAAGTATTGTAATCAAGTGAAGGATAATTGGGCATCTGAAGTGACGAAAGTACTGTGACCAACTGGAAGATAAGTGGCAATTCATTCACCGGGCAGTGCTGAGCCCAAGCAGCATCTGGCCGTTGTTGCCAGAAGGGATGTAGGAAACATTGGGTGAGCGCGCAATCACCCCAGCTATCTCCTTGGCAGCCTCGATCCTCCTGAGCTCGATCAGGCCATTGCCTACAAGAGCGGTGGCATCTGAGATGAGCCGTGCGGACTCGCTCTCTCCCTCCGCGCGAACGATAGCAGCACGCCTCTCCTGCTCTGCACGCGCAACGAGGAACCTGGAGCGCTCAGCCTCCTGCTGCGCGACCTGCTTCTTCTCAACGGCCTGGGCGAAGTCGTGCCCGTAGGCGAGGTGGGTGATGGCGACGTCATCGAGCACGATGTTGAACTCGCCGGCGCGGCGGACGAGGGCTTCACGGACGAGGGCAGAGACGTGGGGACGGTCGGTGAGGAGCTGGTCTGCGTTGAACTGGGCGACGACGGCCTTGAGCACCTCGTTGCCGATGGAGGGGAGCACCTTGTCGTCGTAGTCGAGGCCGAGGTTGGTGAAGATTTCAGGAAGGCGTTCCACGTCGGGGCGGGCGAGGACGCGGAGCGTGAGGCTGACCATCTGGAGATCCTTGGTTCCGGAGGTGGAGGAGAAGCTGTGCGGGCGCGTGCGGATGTCGAAGAGGAAGGGCTTCTGGAGCCAGGGGACGAGGAAGTGGGTGCCCTCCGAGACGACCGCCGGGAGAACGCCCTGGAAGCGGTCGAAGATGACCGCGCGTTGGCCGCCGTCCACCGTGTAGAGGGACGTGGAGACGGCAGATGCCGTCAAGCCCAACCCGGCAGCCACCTTTGCGAGCTTCGTCAGGAACGAGACCGCTGCTTGCCCGCCGCCAGACATGGATGACCTAGTTTGGGGGTGGATTTTGGTTGGTGTTTGGGGTAGTTCTGCGCCGTGGGATCTGGTGGCTTTAACGCTGTACCATTTCTTGATAGAGAAGAAGCATAGTGCGGGCCGTGCAAGTGGATGGGCCTGATTGGCCTGTTGTGCGAGTGGGTGGGCGAGCCTACCAAGCCCATCCACCTTATTATTTCTGATCTGCTTTTTTGAATGCTCTGTTTGGATGTAGACATTCAAGCCAAGGTCTTGCCATTTCATCTTAAAAAAGGTTGCTTAAGAGAAAAATGGTCTTGCTATTGGATTGCTTAAGAGAAAAATGGTCTTTCCATTGGATTGGCTCAATTGTCAAATATCTTAAGATACTGATATTGAGGTTCAATGTCATTTTCTAGTGTTTGGCTGGCTAAGTATTTAGCACTTGGAATATAAGGGAAGCAATGATTTCATCTATTGTTTGGATGGAAAGGGAGTAATTTATCATTTTTGTAACATTCGTAATTTCATATTGTCTCGATCAGTTTTTAAAATTGAGCATGATTGGGTAAAATACTCTAATAAAAGAGGCTCCATAAGGATGCACTCTTTCTTCTCTCTCCCTAAGATGTAAGTGGTGCCTCTCCAAGGCATCCCTTCGGGGTGTATATTTCATAAATGAAATCCACATAAGATTGATTAGTAGCAAGCAAGGACATAATAATATTAATTTAAACCTATAAGGTGGCTGGGCAACTCGCCTCCTTGGTACTCCCCCGATTTGCATCGTTTTCGTCTGTTAGATCTTGGTCAACCTGGTCTTTGTTTCGCTGCCTCACGTTGGATCGTCGCTGCAAATCTATGTTGTCGTTTTTCACCGTGTGGTGAGTTCATTGGGGGTGATGACCTGTGGGCTCAGCGTCCAGCGCTATTGGCTGGGTCATTGCTTTCTTGGTCGCGGACGATCTCTCCTTGGGCACCATGTGTGCGCATAGCATCGCGCGTCCTTGGCTCCTCCTGGCTCGGTAGCCTGCTGGAACGACACAACCACGCCCGATGCTACCCGTCCATGCAATGACGAGTGGGCCAAAATGGCCGTTGGTCCTACGTGTAAGCGACTTTCTGTTGTTTTTCTCTGCGCTAGTGTTAGTGCGGATGTTTTTGGTGAGCCCTTACCAACAGAGAGGCGTGGGGCAATGTGATGCATGCGAAAAATAGGGTGAGCCGACGCCTGCACACCCGCGTCTTCCTACACAATGATGGGTGGTCCAGTTTGATGCTGGTCCTACACGTCGGCCGGTGGGCTTCGTGCAATCCATGTCGCTTTGATTACGGGAGAGAGTTGTTGGGTTCCTGCATGAGCAGTGCCGAGGCTGACATCCACGCACTGTCGCGTCCACTCACTCGTCTTTTCTCCGGGTTGTTCGGTGCACTTGCCTTTTTTTCTTCCTGGTCGTCTAGTGTCATTATTTTAGTTTTACAAAGGCCACTGATGTTGGGGCCATGTCGAGGGGTGGGGCCGGTGGTTAGTTGTGTTGTGTTCGCTCGTTGTTGGGTCCGTGTGGCCGACGCACAACTGACAACTGGACTTGCGAGCGCCACGCGTTGGGTCCCTCGTGCGAGGCGTGCTTCCTCTCAGTGCGCGTCACACCCTGCGCTGGTGGCAAACCCTTCCCCAATCACCACATCCGTAGCACGCCTTCCTCCTCCTTACTCGTCACCAGAGCCGCCACACCTCTCCTTGCTCCTCACCCGCACCCCTGTCGCGGTGCACATCCCTCCCATCATCGAGCCCAACTCCCTTCACGTTTCTCCTACTCCCAGAACCACATCCCGTTGTTTAGGCTCCATGGCGACGGCCGGATCGAGGCGAGCCTGGCGCAGGTAGGCGGAAGCAGCCGGGCGCCGGATGCGGGTGGGAGAGTTCCTCCTCGTCGCTAGAGCCACTGCACCTCTCCTTCCTCCTCGCCCGCACCCCTACCGCAGTGCACATCCCTCCCCACATCGAGCCCAACTCCCCTTCGCGTTTCTCCTCCTCGCAGAACCACATCCCGCTGGTTAAGCTTCATGGCGGCGGCCGGCTCGAGGCGAGTCTGGCGCAGGTAGGCGGAACTGATATGGGTGGGAGAGTGTCGGACGGTGCGCCGGCTGGAGCAGCATGAGCAAGGAGCCGGGGTCGGCCGTGGAAGGTAGGCTCGCTGGCCGGAGCAACTGCAATAGTTGTTGGTCGGCCCGACGCAGTGCCTCAGCCCCGCCTCCTCTGTTGCAGCACACACGCATGAGAGGGGCAGATGTGTCGTCACTGGTGGCAAGTTCAGCGGCCGCCGCCTCCTCTTTTCTTCAAATCCAGTAAGCCCTCTCGTGAGTGCATAAGGGGATGTCGTGCCCTCGAGTCCTCAACTACGGTGAAGCACCAGGTCCACATGAGCTCCTCCTTCAATCTGCGTGCCTGATTTCTTAATTTTTCATGAATGCACATAGCTAAAGACAGTGGCGGAGCCAGAAATTTCTTCCTTGGTAATCATTTGTGCAATTTTATATCAATATGACAACAAATATACAGCAAGCCAGTAGCAGCATACAAATGGATCGAACAATTCTTTAGTATTTCATGGAAGTCCGGGGAAGACCCCTAGCGCCGCCACTGTCTGAAGATTTTTTGGTTCCCTCATCTAGATTTCTTCTGAAGTGTGCAGGTTGTTATTCCTTATCAAGGAGAGCCTTAATCAACCACACAAGAATTTGGATTGAAATGAGACAGATTCCCTATACTATATTCCCTAGCCAAATATAGTTCAGAGGTTGAATGAACATTACTGCTACAAATTTGGCTAGGGAATCTGTCTCATTTTAATATTGCAATGAAGTGGTTGGGATGGAGAGGATTTTTTACTTGTCTAAGGTAATATTTGTTAGGTCTATTCCTGCCAAAAAATGTACTAAATGTTTGTTAGTGTCCTCTTCTTTAATTGGTTTATATATTCAACTTGATTCCTTAGCATTCAAATGGAATATACTAAATTGGCTTTCACCTTTTTGTCCACTACTCACAGATATCACAAGAAGCATCAATGTTTTCTTAGCATTCAAATCGACATTCATGGGATCACTTATGGCCACATGTATACTAGTTGCAATTAATATTGCTTTCTCAAATTCTGATATCTAAAGCCTGTACTGCCTGAACAAATCAATGGGCTTATATACATTCTGATATATATTTTCTAAATACATCTGTAGATTCCCATACCCTTTTTAGATCCAATTGTAATTGTTTTGCATTTGTCTTTGGATTGTTTTTATACACCCCAAGGTAATATTCAAGGACAACCAAGCATCCAAGCTTAGGGATGCCCAGGATGGCATCCCCTCTTTTGTCTTCGTTTCATCGGTAAATTTACTTCAGGCTATATTTTTATTCACCACACGATATGTGTTTTGCTTGGAGCGTCTTGTATGATATGAGTATTTGGTTTTAGTTTACCATAATCGTTCTTGATGTACACACTTTTTGAGAGGGACACACATGAATCGTGAATTTATTAGAATACTCTATGTGCTTCACTTATATCTTGAGCTAGCACTACAAAAAAATACACTTCCATGATGATACGTGTTTGTCACAGTAGGTCACATTTTCTGTCATGAATGTACATCCATGAAAATTTTATGACAGAATAAAGATAGTCATACTCATGCCGTCGTAGAAGTGTTCCATTACATTACCAGAATTGTCATCACTGAAGTGTCCACTTCCATGACGATAAATGGCGCGTCATGGAAGTGCTTTCGTCAAGGGTGACCGACACGTGGCATCCACCGTAACGGGTCGCCGTTAAGCTATCGGGTCTGGTTTTGGATTCGATAACCCGTTAACAACTCGAACCAATGGGGATTTTCCATGTGTAAAATTCTCAATGGCCAGAAGAACCACGTGTCGGCTCACCCATTGGGATAGATGTCATCCACTCATTGGACATGAGGCGTCTATGATACATCGACATGTGGTACGACCCAATAGAGGCCCATTCCGGTGAAAAGGCCGACCTGTTTGACTTGGTCAAAAGGTAGCGGGCCGGCCCATGGAAAGCCTATTAACGGTATGTTCGTATATAGCCCATTTACGACCCACTAACTCACGGCCTGTTACGACCTATCCGAATTAAGCCTAGTAGTTTCATCTAGGCCGTCCAATATGATTCCAGCCAGTTGTAACTCCCGGCCCATGTATGGCCCATGAGGCCCTTTGTAACCCTTGGCCCATTAACGGCCCGTGGTGAAACTGGTCCGTAATGAACAGTGTACCACTTATACCCATTAACGGCCCATTATTCCATTGGGCCGTTTCTAACCCATGTATCTTTCGGCCTTCTTAGGGCCCATTTATTCTTGGGCTCATTTCCAGCATTCGTTACTTACGGACCGTTACTGGCCTTTTCTGCTTGTGGGCCAAATTCAGCCCATGGTTACAGTCGGCCCGTTTGCGGCTCGTTAATCTGTTGGGTCGTTTTCATATTGCGACCGATTAACGACGGCCCATTATGGTCGGCCCATGAACGGACGATTCCAACTCTAGCCCATTTACAGCACATAATGCGGTCTGTTATTGGCCCATGTTTGGCCAATCGATCATACGGCTCGTAGAAGGCCCATTGATGCTACGACTCGTAGAAGGCCCATTGTTTCTACGGCCCATAGAAGGCCCATTGTTTCTACGGCCCATAGGAGGCCCATGGTCACTACAGTAAATATGTAGCCCATGGTTATTGTGGCCTAGTTTTAAAAAATAGGTTATTGCGGCGACTAGCAAACTGCGGAAAAAGAACTGTACTAACTACAACCAAGCAAATAAACAAAACAACAAGGAAATAAATAAGCAAGCAACTTATGCTAGGCTATTACGGCTATTACACATATTACATCCACCGGGCATCAAAGTTCGCCACCAGTGCAAATATAGGGAACAAAGCAGCATAGCACATACACTGGTTGTCAAAGCTGGCGACCAGTGCAAATAAACGCCGCAA